TTTTTTTTTTTTTGCTGGGAGTCCTTGCACGGGCTGGCCACCCGGGACCCGGGCGGCCCGGCTGGTAGCCTAGATTAATTTTCAAAAGGGAAAGACTATTGGAAAGAAATTTTAAATGACAATAAAAAATACGTGACAAAATGCGAAAAAATTAAAATTGGAATAAATGGAAAAATTCAAAAAAAAATTGCCATATTTTGGGGGGGTTATTTTGAATTTTTAACGAATTTAAATGATAATTATGAAAATAATTTAAATCGGGATTTCCGAATTACTTTGAAAAAGAAAAGAAATGTTGGAAAGAAAAGATTAAATTCGAGAAAAATAAAACGAAGTTTGAAAAAGAAATCCGAGGATTTTCAAAATGAAAAGAAGGTTGAATCCCCTATACTTCAATCCCCCCCGTGGCGAAGGGTTGTGGTCCCGTGCCTCCCTATAGGCGAGCGCCTCTGGCTCGCCTTCTCAACCCTCTCCCGGGCACACGACCACTCTGGTCACGCTGGCGCGTCGCCCCCCGAGGTCCCTCAGCAGGACCTCCCTCAGGGCTTTGTCCCTCCTTGTGGTGTCCTTTCCGCTAAGGAGCGCTCGACCATCTTGGGTTGGCGTGGGTGTTTGCGCTGCCGCCAGGACGGTCATACCTCCTCGCGGTGCCCTTACACCGCCGCCCTCAACCGCCACTATGCTGAGCTCTCTCGCCAACATCGCGCTCAGTCCCCCCCCGACGCCTCGCATCCCCGCGGCGCCTCCTAGCTACGGTGCAATGTACACCTGCGCCCTCCTCAGTAGTCGTCTTCCCGACATCTCTGTTGCGGTTTGCCCCTCTCGCTACTGGAGTCGAGGTATCGCAGAACCTGACAGAGTGTACGCAGTCCTCTGTTGCAGTACCATCTGCGCCTCCGCAGACCACAGTCTCCCCTCCTACCTCTCCGCGACTACCGACTTGTCGAGCCATTCGCTCATCCCGTTGTAGCGAGTAGCTTGCGACTTGCGAGAACGTTGTGTCCTCCCTTCTGGACTTGGGCATGCTCCAGGCTCGTCAGGAGCGACTTACCATCTATGTCGCTGCACTGTGTCGCCTTCTCGCCATCCTCTCTGACCCTGATCGCACCCTCCCGGTCATTCTAGTACGACTGGGGACCTCCACGAGGGTGTACTCAGTGATGTGGGATTTCGGTTCTAAAGGCGACTTCATTCACCCACGTGTGGTGATAGAAACCCGCTTACCCACGACAAGGTCTCCGACTCCCATCTTCGTCACCCTAGGAGATGACAAGGCCCAGCGCTTCTTCGATCAGATGGTCACCGACCTCCCCTTCTTCCTCACTCTCGAGCCGACTGATCGTCCCCCAACTTCTCGTCGCCACCGCTCCTCTGCACACTTCGATGTGATGGAGACAGGGTACAATTTCATTCTCGATACTTCGTGGTTTCGTCGGTTCTGAAGCACCGAGGCCGATTGGGCAACCAACACTCTCGTTCTCAGAATGAAGTGTGGAAAGACGTATCATGTACCTTATATAGGTACCACTGCAACACCAAGCCCCAATCCTCCTCCCCTGGAGCCTTTCGTGCCCATACCATCTCCTACTATCACTGTCACCTCTCCTCGACAGTTCCCCCACTTCATCCGACAGGACGACGTCACCTTCTTTACGGTGAATATTACGAATCTCTTGCAGTATGATTCACCCTGTCCAGACACCGAGCTCATCTGTCTGGAGCCAGATCCTCCTTCTATCTCTATGGCTTCCATCTCTACGTCCCTCCCTCTACCGTCCATCGAGTCCACCCCGCCGTCGGGCGCTGACACTGGCGTTGAGGAACTCGCACACTATACGGCCGACCTGGAGCCCGCAGTTCGTGACCTAATTCGAGAGTACCACGACGTTTTCCCATCGTTGTTTTTCTACGTCGGCATCCCACCGATGCGCGGCGTCGAGCATTCCATCCAGCTTGTGCTTGACTATCGTGTTCACCACCAGGTATCCTACAGACTCTCGATCCCCGAGGCCACCGAACTCGAGCGTCAGCTTGAGGAGCTTCTGAGAATGGGTTTCATTAAACCCAACAACTCCCCGTGGGGTGCACCCATCCTCTTTGCTCGCAAAGCGGATGGAACTCTCCGTCTCTACATTGATTATTGCGGGCTCAACCGCTACACGGTTAAGAACAACTACCCCATGTCTCGTTGCGACGAGCTGTTCGACCGCCTAGCAGGCAACCGCTTCTTTACGAAGATTGATCTTCGTAACGGTTACCATCAGATTCGCGTCGCTGCAGCGGACCAGCTGAAGACAGCGTTTCGATCGCGCTTCAGCCACTATGAGTTTACGGTGATGCCATTCGGCCTCACCAACGCACCCGCTACCTTCCAGAGGGCGATGAACGACATATTCAGGGTCATCCTGGAGCAGTACGTTCTCGTCTACCTCGGCGATATCCTGATCTACATTCGTACCCTTGAGGAGCATCTCGGACACCTCCACGACGTCCTTGACCGCTTGCGCAGACATGGCTTTTATGTCAAGCTGAGCAAGTGCCGCTTTGGCCAGCACAAAGTGGATTTCTTAGGACACTGTGTCTGACCAGGGTCTCCACATGGATGACGCGAAGATCACTTCTATTGCGGAGTGGCCCGTCCCGACATCCGCCAAGAAGCTTTGCGGCTTCCTAGGCCTCACTAGCTACTATAGTAATTTCATCCAGAGATACGCTAGGCATTCCTACGTCCTTTCCTCCACCCTCCTCTGGAAGAACCCGCCATGGGCTTGGACACCCCTCAACGAGGATGCCTTCCGCGCCCTCAAGAAGGCGGTGACATGTGCACCGGTTCTTCACCTACCCAATTTTGATCGCCCTTTTATCCTTACCACTCATGCGTCAGACTTTGCTGTAGGGGCAGTGCTTTCTCAGATTTTCTTCTCCTCTCCTGATTCTTCTCATCTTTGCATCCCTCGCTTCCCACCCCTTACCCGTACCACTGCTTCCCGCCTGACACCTACTCGTCCAACTACTGACGAGCCTTCTATTGACTATTCTCCTACCATCGCCGAGGACGGTACTGTCGAGTCTCGCTCAGGTGATTGTCCCATAGCCGTCTACTCCCGTCAGCTCCTTCCCGCTGAGATAAACTACACTGTTGATGAACGTGAGGTTCTTGCAGTAGTTTATATCGCTCGGCACTGGCGTCATTACCTGCACGGGGCACCATTCACAGTGCGCACGGACAACTCTGTTGTCCAAGCTTTTTTGACAAAGCCGAAACTCACTCCTCGACGGGCTCGCTGGTGGTACGATCTATCCGAGTTTAGTTTCACCACTTAGCACGTCAAGGGTGAGACTTATCGGGTCGCAGAGGCCTTATCCCGACGCCTTGACCGTGATCTGGAGCAGATCCAACTTGCTGACTATCGTGACATCCATGCGACCCTTCAGAGTGGCAAGACCGTCCCGAACTACTATCTCGGGGACAACGGTCTTGTATACTGGCATGGTTCACAGGGCACCGGTGAGCCCCGTATTTGCGTTCCCTCCACTGGACAACTACGTGTTCGAGCGGTAGCAGAGTTCTATGATCAGGCAGCCGCCGGTCAAAGAACTACTTCGCAGAGTGTCCCACCTGTCAGGAGGTGAACATTACGAACCACCTACCTTATGGTTTGCTCCAGCCTCTTCCTATGCCTGAGGGTCGTTGGCAGTCCATCTCAATGGACTTCATTGGTCCTCTTCGTCCTCCGACCCCCCGCGGTTGTGATGCTATCTTGGTTGTCGTCCACCACTTCACGAAGCGCGCACGCTTTGTTTCGTGCCGCTATGCCATCTGTGCACGTGAGGTCGCCGACATCGTGTTTAACCGAGTCGTGCGTGACCATGGCTTACCTCTGAGCATCATATATGACCGTTACCCGCGCTTTAACAGCCGATTTTGGCGACGACTCCACGAGGTTTACAACACCCAGCTCCGCTTCTCCTCGTCTTACCATCCCCAGACCGATGGTCAGACCGAGGTCACAAACAGGACTCTCGGAGATATTCTTCGAAAGATTGTTCGTGACGACCAGCAGTGGGATCTCCATCTTGCCCACGTGGAGATAGCCTCCAACCACGCCGTCTCGCCAGCCACGGGGATGTCACCTTACTATTGTGACCTCAGCTATCACCCTCGTGTTCCCGCAGACTTCCTTCGACCGTCACAGATGCACCCCGACGCGAGTTGTCCCGTGCTGGATGATTGGGTTGCACACATGACGTCGATCATGAAGACCGCGAATGAGCACATAGCCGCTTCCGAGACTCGCATGGCCACACTTGCGAACCGATCGAGGATGGATCATCCATTCAAAGTCGGTGATGATGTGCTTATCGACGCCCGCCATTTACAGCTCGAAGCGGGCACGCTTTGCAATTTCAAGTGTCGCTTCTTTGGCTCATACCGCATTCTCCAAGTCGTCGGTTCTGATAGGGCTTCTAGCCCGGTCAGCTTTCGTGTGAAGCTGCCCGACTACCTACGCCAGGCTCGTGTACACGATGTCTACCACGTCTTGTTATTGCGTCCCTACCACAGACCATCTGAGCGTTTCGCTGGACGACCATACGAGCGCCCTCCACCCATCATGGTGGATGGCCACGAGGAGTTCCTCGTTTCAGACATCATTGGTCGTCGAGTCACCCATGACAACCCTCCTCACGTCGAGTATCTCGTACGTTGGAAGGGTTACCCTAATGAGGAGGCTACTTGGGAGCCCATCGAGCACTTGCAGCACGCTCGCATGTTGGTGCGTGCCTATGATCGTGCTCGTCGTGCTGGGTTGACTGCTCCTCGTCAACCCACTGACCCTCTTCCTTCTCGCTCGGTTGAGGAGACCGCTGAAGTCGAGCTTGCTCCATCCGAGGCAGACCTTCAACAACAGTCGGATGCTTCTGAGCGTCCACAACACACTCGTCATCATCCTGCTCGATACGACGATTGACTCAAACTTATCTTCCCATGTCTTTGACTTCTCTGTACTCCATCCACTCAAGTGTTGCCACTTCAACTCGTCGACGTTGCGACTCTTCCTCGACGACATCGGTAGCTTTATGGCCTTCGTCACGATCAGCTCTGCCTACTTTAGACGTTGTCACTCTCTTCCCACCTTACCCTGTACAGTACCTTGGTTGTGTCGCATGATGGTCTCCCTTCGTTGGGTTCCTCTGAGTTGAGCTCTCCCTTGGTATACGCATAGGCATCGCGACTGTAGTGTTGCCCTGACTTCCCAACTTATGGATCCAGCTCCGACTTCCCCCACCTTAGGAGTCATTTGCATGATTCCCTTACCCATCACTTTTTCTACCCTCTGCCGGCCCTCACGCCCTAGTTAGGCAGCCTTGCATGCCTCATCTAGGTGCGCCCAGTATACCAGGCTCGCTTATTCCCTTGCATGGTCGACCCTCCATAGCGTTCACCCCTTCAGTCGAGCATTACCCGCCCTGATGGTCTATCTGTTAGGGTCATTGGTTTTGTTCGCTCCCAGTTCCTTACCCTCATTAAGCCTGATGATACGTGTCTCCCTGTCATTATGTGTGGATGCCCTTAGGAGTTTATCGACCCCTAGGCTGCATTCGCCACCCTCAGAGACCATCCCACCCTGTGGTTTGCGACACACTGCTCCTGTGACATATGGTTGTCTTGTTGTTGCTTGGTTGCTTTCAGACTGAGGCTACTTGCCTCTAACATTTCTAGGATTTAGTTGTTTCTGCTTTTGCTGTTCTCAGGACTTATACACTAGTCAGTTGTTTCAAACTGAGGATACTGCCTCCAACATTCTAGGACTTAGATGTCATTACTTTCTGTTTTTCTATGACATGTATACTAGTTAGTTGCTTCTGCTTTCACTTAGGCTGTTAGTAGTGGCATTGCTGTTTTTGCTACATTTTCTAGCCTAGGTTGCATCGCATGGACTCAGCATGGAGCTTGCTCTGCATCCTAGACTACTCGGGTTTTCCTTTTCTTTGGTAGAGTTCCACTTCTTGGCGGAAGCGTGCTTGTATCTAGGCGATCCATCACAGGCCGTGTAGCGGACCTCTGGTTGGCCTGTGAGACCAGCCCCTTGGCCTGTTCTCACAGGCGTGTGTTGTATTCGGGGTAGTCCAGTCCAGGCCGGTACCTCTGTCGGTACCAGCCAGTCCAGTCCAGTCAGTCCACGGGGGTATATCCCAGCCAGAGTCTGTATTTGGGATCATTCTGCCTTCGCACAGTTTGGAGTACGTGCGTTGGAGTCTCGCGTGGGAGCTGCGCTGTGCCATCTTGCTCCACTCTCATCCTCCATCTCCATCTCTATCCCAGGCGGAGCACCACACCTGGTGGGTCCGCCACAAATCCCAATACTTGATATATCCGGGAGCGGGGCGGGGCGGGGCGGGGCGGGGCGGGGCAGGTGTGGGCGCTGGGCACGTGCACGTGCGGCAGCAGGCCTTGGCGCTTGGTGCTACCGCACATGTTCGGCATGTGGTGCCTTTTCCCCTCTCGCAGCTGCTGCTGTTTTTCTCCCGTCTTTTTCAAAAACTGTCCAAATCCCATTGTCAGGGATTGGCGCCGCAATTCCTTTGTTGCTGCAGGATGGGTGGGAGCGGGGAACGTTCCCGCTCTGATACCGGTGTAACAGGACAGCCGGAGTGGCGGTCCCATCAACGTGGAGGACGAAGAGATGAGGAAGAAGGTGGAGATGGCGGTGGAGCTGGAAGACATAAAGCAGCACCGCAGAAGACTGAGCACGCACGTACTCCAAAATGTGCACATGAAGAGTCATCCAAAGTACAGACTGCAGCTGGGGTGTACCCCAGCAGACCAACTGGACTGGACTGGACTGTACTGGTACCGACAGTGGTACCGGGCTGGACTGAACTGGACTGAATATCCACATGGCCTGTGAGATCAGGCCAACAGCCTGGTTCCACAGGCCGAACAGAATCGAGGCCTGCTGCAATAAGGGACGCTGGACCCGTTTTCCAGCAGGTGCCACCACCACTACCAGGCCTGGCGGATGTTAAAAAAAAAAAAAGAACGGCTGTCTGCTACGGGTGTAGCCACAGCGGGCATCCGCTTGTTGTTTAGAAGAGGAGGAAAGATGATGGAATAGAGATGATGATGGCGAGTGAAAGAGAAAATGCAATGGGCTCAAACTTTGAACATGTCTGTTTTTTTTTCTTCTTCTTCCTTCTCCTTTCCCTTCCACTTCCACTTGAGTTGTGTAATCTTGCATTATAGTTGAGTTTTCCATTGTGAGCTGAGCAGATCATAACAGGCTCTATTTAGCAAATGTCACAGTGGTTATGCAAAACTTGGGTGTTGTGATGAACTGTTTTCATTTGTTCGATTTCTTTGCAGATCCGCCAGTGGTGAGAGATCAGATTCTCATGAGATTTGGTTGTCATTTAGGATTACTCTGGAGGACAGAGGAGAAAGCATTTGGAGTATTTGATGGCATGTTTGTCTACCTTTCCTCTAAGTCTATACAAGACCAGATGTGGCATCAGGTGTCAGTATCAATTGACAAAAATGGTTACGGACGACTTTTTGTTGATGGCATCTCCCAGCAGCTTACCAAGGGCCGGATCAGCGAACGCAAGCGCTACCATTCCCAGATTGGGATGATCTTCCAGACAGATTATGCACCCTTTTTATGCCCACCTGCTTCCCCAGCCCAAGCCTTGTCAACAATCTCCATGTCCTCGACTTTCCCCTCATTTAATTCACAGAATAGCAGTATTGCCACTTTTGACCAAGAGAAATTGAGATTCCTATCAAGCATCCAAGCCCTGAGAGGGACAAAGTCCTTTCTTGAAGGAAAAGGGACCTCTGCAGAAGATGGACACATCAATCTAGAAATCAATTCAGGAGAGTTAGCACCCGTACCCAACATGAATCTCAAGCTTGCATATCGGACCCTTCTCACAGTCAATTTTTCATCAGAAAGATCTAAATGGCTCTACCCTCCAATCACCCAGATGGCACACGTGCCACAAGGCCTTCGTCATAATCGTAATGCAATGCATCACCATTTACGAGGCAGCAAAAGGTCCCTCTACCTTGATGTCTGGCCATTTCTTGGTGGATACTACAGTGTTGAGTTTTCGCCTCACCCACAAAATCTTACGTGGGACATCCCAGATGAAGTTGAATCGCTTTGTCATTGCAGTCTTGACATTGGTCGGGCATGCGATCCATTCTTTGAGACATTTGATGGCCTCATTGATGAAGTGCAGGTCTGGAATCGTAGTCTCACTTCCTCAGAGATCAGTGAGTTTATGTTTTCACTTCCCCTCTGTGTTTCCTCACTTGCATACAATAATTGCCGGGCTTGGCAAAGTGACTATGTGATTGATCTCATTGGGTATTACAAGTTTGGAACACCTTGCCGCCCTCCTTTCGCTGTTAGACCACCTGATGAGGCACCTATTCAGCCTGCAACCAACCCTCAGCCCGAGACCATCACCACGCCTCCGAATAGTTCATTGTCCTCGGCCTTCTCTTTGCGACCACCAGACCTCAAAATAAAGCAATTCCAGTCACAGAAACAACTAGAACATCTCATTGAGTCTCCAGTAACCCATAGGTTGCCAGTTAACCTCAGCAGTCAATCATTTGGACTGGCATCACTCAACCCTCGGCTTTCTGCCACTTCTCTGTCTCTTTCAGCAAGTGATTCTCCGCCACAACTAGATCACTCTAAGAGGAGTCGTGGTCATCCAACACTTCATGTCCGACACGATCATCAGGCCCTACCGTCCATGCAGCTTACTGCAGACCATTCTTTGGTTCTGAGAAACTCCCGGACCAGAGGATCCTCTTACGTAACAGAGTTTGGGATCCCTCCTCCTCGGACACTTTCTCAATCAGTAGATCTCAGAGTCTCCTCTGCACCACCCCTGATGATGTGCACGGGACTTCGTTGCAACAACAAGGGGGTACATGGAGGAAAGCATCGCAAATTGCTGTGGGATGAAGGGTGGCTGGAGCAACATGTAGTGGATAACAGTGCGTTTGATTCAGATTCTGCAAATGATGAGGATGTCCTTGCCAGCAACTCACACAGTCCAAGCAAAACACGAAAGCATGCAGCTCCTGCAATTGTTCTGACATGGAGGAAGCCCTTCTGGTTCTCATCTGCTCCGTGGGTTTCCCCAACAATAACATTCTACAAGGGATCATTTCTCCCTCTAAATGGAAAGAAGAGAATACTGTTTCGTGGACTTGGGTTTGCTCGAAGCTCTTTTGCAAAATGCATTGTTACTGCTACCGGTATTGGTGTGCCTCTACTCATTCCGAGGCAAAGCAAGAAGGCAGGTAGCTCTCATTCTGCTGAAAACAAGCTGGTGACTTCAGGTGAAGTCCTTGGGTACATTGAAAACGAAAGCCTGATGTTCAGCTACTTTTCATCACTCAACTGCACAGCACCCACAATTACAATCTCAGGTGATTCCTTTGCGTTGGGAGCTTCAAACGATGGAGGTCGCACAGAACAGAGTGAGCCAATTCCAACAAGAGTAACAGGTGAGCAAGAGCTGTATGGTTTTCTTGCTGGGTGACAAGAAGTGCAATCAGACTCGACTTCAGACTTGCTTCCACATGCATACACACGAACTGATGGCAAAACTAAAACTCTTCAACTCAGAATCAACAATAAACTTGCATTTAAACTCTGTTCAACACAACTGTACAACTTGTGGCTATGGCCGCCAAACACTGTCTCCAACACCAGCCTCACTCTCCCTCATGCACGCATGTACAAGGATCACCCTGAATGTCCACGCTACACAGACACACACACTCTGTACACTCTGTCTGCACCAACAGCTGGGCGGCTATGGCCGCCGTCGTCTTCCTCCTCCTAGCTATGGTCGCCGGTGTTTGCCTCATTAGCCAGCTATGGCCACTGTCTTCCTCACAGCCCACTTCCTCACCGGGCACCTGCAGACCTCCACGCACAAGATACCAAGGCAGCTCTTCTGTATGGCTCACAGGCGAATGAATGAATGGCTGGACGCTGCCTCTTTATTTATACCTCTTTGGAGGTACCTGGGTCTGCCTCAAAACGTGTGGGCCTGGGCCGAAACGTGTGGCCCAGGGAAGATTCCAGACGTTTGGCCTTCTGGGCCAAAACGTGTGGAACCCACAGCGTGGTCCAGAACCTTCCCCACATGCAGCCCGTACCCCTGGTACTTGCTGACTGGACTGGCTTACAGGGACCTATGACCTTCTAGAGCCTACAGACTTACAAACAGACTCTAGGCCTCAGAGGACTAAGATAGAGACTTCTAGAACAGACCTTCCTAAGCGTAACAGTAACAGACCTAACTCCTAATCTACAGACCTGGGGATCGAGTCTCACACAGATCACTGGGCCTATGTACAGGGTACAGGGTATGTAACGAGCGTGAGGCTGAGGGTGAGCCGAGGGAGAGGAGAGAGAGAGGGAGAGAGTGAGAGCACACACACACACTCACTCACTCGACACGACGGACTCGGACTGAGGGTCGGACGCAGACACAGTGGCAAGGCACAAAGTCGAAGTCTTGGATTCCGAATGCCCAAACGGCAAGTCACACTGAGTACAAGTACAGCAGCAGAGAACTGGTACGAGACTGGTCCCCGTACCGTACGGGGAGCCGGTATAAGTA